TGTTTTAGAAAAAAAATCACAACATATTGGAGAGAGAAACATCAATGATATTCAATGGCAACATGGAAGTGAGCCAGCATGGTGGATATGAAGCATTTCAATTGTGAGCAAGAAATCACAGTTAGACGAAACTATGTTGTGGAATTTAAATACTAAATAAATAGCTCAATTGATATTTGATTTGCTCGTACATATATATATATATAGATATGGATTAATCTGATTAAATATCAAGACAGTGGTATTATCATGAAAACAAGTTTTCTAAGACCATACTGTATTGATCGGTGTGACGTATATTTATGCTAACTACGAACCTCTCGATGATTTTTGTTACTTTTTTTAGAATTGAAAAGAGAAACAGTTTTGAAGTATTGTAAAAAAACGTGCAGTTGTACTTAACAATAGTTCACCCAGTCGGTTTTAGTCGGTGCTGTCAATGGTCGTGTTGGAAGAAGAACCCGAAGGTTTTTCGTGTTTTCGAGCTCAAATAAAGTGACGGAATCTTGAAATGGCGTTAAACATGATTCCAACGTCGGTGCAGTATTGACTCTGGAGGGTGACAAATTAGTTGATGCAGACAACGGAAGACTTTTTATTGGAGATGTTCGTGAAACAACAGCTGCAGTTTGAGGTCGTGTGATAGGTCGATCGAGATATTCTTCTTCGAATTGGTTTGTACGTTCGAGAATCTCTCGATAACATGTGGGATTATCAACACCAATAGGTCGCCGTTTCCATTGACCTTGCATTTTGAATTGATTCTTTTTCGTTTGTACCATCATTTTCGTAATTAGTTGACGACGTTGTAAAATTCGTGACATTGCATGTTTATGGGTCGTTTCAAGTAGAGTACGTTCATTAGGTTTGCCGATATTTTCACGTTTATCGACGATTTGAACATGCTGGCAAGGATTTTTTATGGCCGGAATGCGTTCGGCAAGATTTCGAGCTGCTCGATGCGCGAATCCTTCAATTTCTTTCTTTGCGCGAGCATCATTGTGAAGGAAACGACGAGAACAGTCAGCGTAGAACAACTCAATAGACTCCGTATCACGTTCAACTGTGGGCGCCGATTTCAGATGTGCAGATGCTGACCGCGAATCGCTAATAAAGACAAACATATGATTCATGAGCTAATTACACTATTGTGATGAGGAAGGAATGTCAACATACGTAGATTTTGTGACTGTTGACGGTTGTTGGTTATTGAGAAATATAATCTGAATGTCTCTTGCAGTGGGATACAAAGCCATAAAGTTTTTCTCAAAATCCACAAAAGCGAATCGTCGGATTCGTTTTTTTTCTTCCTCCTTTTTGATTCGATCATAACGATCGCGAATTTTCTTATAATAATGTCGTGCAAATCGATCGAACGAGTTATCTTTAATCGCAGCTAGATATTCATTTTCGAATTGAATGCGATCTGCATTTGTTTTCAAGAGTTGTGCTGCTTGAAGAGCTTGTTGTAATTGCGCCAATTGATATGAACGAGAGATGCCTTGTTTTGATGCAGCCGATGATGTCAACATCGAAAATTCCGAACACGGACGATTGTAGGTCGACGTTCCCGGTGATTGTTTTTCTAAACTTTCCGTTTCCGGTGCATCATCGTTGGCGTCTTGTTCGGATGCTAAGTAACGTTCAGCTTCATTTAGACATCCATGATAGAATTCATTTAGTTCATCGGATCTCACTTGATTGGTATGATTTAAAACGATGGTTGTCATGTGTTGGTTGCTACTTTTTGCAATTTAACTGTGTATGTCAAGTAATAATGCGTTATGCGATGAAAAACAGTAAAGAGAAAAGCTGAGAGAAAGAAATTAATACACCGTTTTCTTTTTAGATGTTCTCTCCGTTCTTCTCGTTTTGCAACAAATAAATCGATAGTCAACAGTGAAAGACAAACAAATACATAACTGCATTTCGGAATTCTTAATAAAACTTTAGCAAATAGTAACTGATCTCGATTAGAAATAATCGATGAAGTACTCTAGTTCAAAATTAATACAAAATTCTTCGCTATTACATACAAAGAACGAGAAATTTTATTTTCTGTTCCAGCCATCGACGAACATGTACATGTATCTTGTCTTTTCTCTTATGAATGACTCATTGGTTTCAATCACCTATATAAACTTCGATAAATTCGATCATTTTCTCGTTTGCTCTTCTTCATCATGGTTCGTCCGCCATTATTATCATCCTATGACGATTCGAACATCTCATTTTCGTCGTTATCAACCGAATCTGGTGAATTTACTGTTACATCCGATATTGTCAGTCCATCACCACATGCAACAACCGACTTATCGACTACTCGAAATCCATATGTTGAACAGTATTTGAATATCTATTATAAAAAATCGCTCGATTCATCAGTAAGTCAATCGAATGTCTTCTTCCAAAGAAACATTCTCTGGTTAAATTGCAGATGTTATCAACAACCAGACAATTAGTTGAGAATACATTAGCATTATACGACAGTATGGACGATGAAGCAGCTAATTCTTATATTCTTTCGTTTATTTTGCTACGTGTTGGTTGCGTTTCGAGAACGTATGATTTCGAACAATTTATCGATATGAATCGAGAAGAAAAGGATAAGATTATCAAAGATGTAAGAAAGACTCCATTGGAAAGATCAGTTGTACATTGTATCGTTTAGAATTGGTCCGGAAGAAAAATTCTAATGAATCTATCATCTAAAGATGAAGAAGTGGAAAAGAATTACAAACGTTTTGAAGCTTATTTCTCTACACTAGCTTGCCTTCGTTTCGACGACATTCTTCGAGTGAACAACGAAACAAATCTAAAGAAAATTATCTATTTATTAATGGATGATATTCAATCGCCGATTATTGAATATCGTTTTACAACATTACTAGCACGTGAGTGATCAGATATGACTATTTTCTCATCTGTCGTTTGTTTAGTTGAAGCAATTCTACGTGGATTAATAACAACAGTTGCTCATGGAAGAAGAAACAAACCGGGAAAGATTTCACCATTCATCGGACATAAAGTAACATAGATAAATTTGAGATAAGATTGGCGAATTTTCAATTAGGATGCAATGAAAATATTCGAATTGATTTCCATGACTTTTGCAAAAGCAATTGTGCCGCGTCTTTCGTAAGACCTTCTTTCCAATTCTTTTATGTTGCTAATTTGAAGAGATTGTAGTGATTCTGAAGCACAAATTGGTCATGTTGCATTTCAAGCGTTGATTGAATTATTGGAAATTTGGCCAAATACTTGGATATCGAAAGAAATATTCGATGAATGTATTTACTCGATTGTATCTCAAGTAATCAAGAAGGAATACTTCTTTTCAATTGTTCTTTTATTTGAATATTCTAGGATGATAAATCCGATTTCATCAATTCTATTCGTGCAATTCGAACTGTACTAACTCACAAAGAACTTGATCGAGATGCAATTCACTCATTTATCTATCATCTACTTATCAAAATTTCCTCCGATGAGTTCGAACTTCTATCTGTTTCTCACACAATTTCGGTCTACAAACTCGTCAACGATATCCTAACGTATGTAATTAGTTATCGCTTACACAAAAATGATCTGATCTTCGACTTTGATGTAGAATTTATCCAGATATGTTTTCCATGAAGATGATCTACCGTTGGTCAAGTGGAATCTTTCAAGATAATAATCGAACACAAAAATTAGCGTTGAATATTCTTGTACGATTTATTCAAATGAACGAAGATCAATTTCAATCGACAACGATTTGGCCTTATATCATTCGTATCTATACGACTATCTTCCAATTGAATGTTAGTGAAGAAACAACAGCTTGTTTAATCCATGCAATTGAAAATAATTTGAAAATTTCCACCATTCTATCGAATCTCTCCGGCATTGAATATTACATCGAAACAAAGATCTTTGATAGTAATTAGATGACGATTTCCGAATGAATACTAATGAATGATGTGTTTTGTTTGACGATAGATTCTCAAATTGCATCCATTCTTGTTATTCTTCAACTACTTCGATCACTTTTCATTCTTCATGTTAATCGGCAACGATCAGCAATGGCAGTCGATGATGAAGAACATGATGATAATGAAATCATTTGTCGAAATATTAGCCGATTGACATTTAAATTTATAACACGGATTGTTCAACAAGTAAATTCCATTGATTAGGAAAATCATTTTTTCGTTCTATTTTGTTTTTAAGGACAATATTCATAAATTAATCTTAATTGAATGTTTAACTGCATTGCAAACAACACTTTGTTCATTACCTGTCGAACATACTCGTGAGAACTCACTTTCACTAACAGATTTAATCAATGAAATGAAAATGATGCTAACTACTCATCAATTAGCTGATACATCGATCGAGACAATGATAGATGAATAAAGTTTTTGTTTTAATATTCATTTGAACATAGAACAATGTTTGTTTTTACATGATTAATTGAAATAAAAATACGATGTGATGAACGAATAGATTATCTAAAAGTACGGAATAAGTATTGAGAATGAATTCCTAGCCATTTGATAATATTTCCAGGTAAAAGTTCTTTTATAACTTTTCTGTTGGAAACTTTTGAATAGATCATCATGACCTTACTTCTCTCTCTCTCTCTTTCGCTTATAACAGCAATACAAAACTTGCACAGGCATGAACGTATATTGTTCACAATCTTTTCAGATGTATTTGACATGTTTGAATACGATATGACTTTTTTCATTGTTACTTTATCAGAACTTATGGAAAAAAACATATCGGCACATTGAGTTCTGCCTTGTCAATACATAGCAGATGCATTTCTTTGCTCAATCTGTTGCACGTATGATTTCGAGAGAAATAAATCTATTCATGATTTTTCTAGACTAATCGTCTTCCATCGGTGATCCAGTATAAATACACGATGGATTTCAATATCGACACATACTCTCTTTTATTATGTGTAGATTACTGATTATTTTAACGGTAAACATTTCTTGTTTTCACATGCGTTCATCTTTTACATACGAATGTTTTCTTGCTTAGTTAGTTCTTGTCATTGGAACGATACTAGGACGTCCGCATAAATTCAAAGGAAAATATGATTCACATCGTCGTCCCGGCATATTATCGAAATTTTGTTCGAACACCACCATAGCTCAAAATTACCTGACGAAAATTCTGTCTCTTATTCACAAATTTCAATCAAATGCGTCATATGATTCTGTTCTGAAATTGCAATCCATTCATTTCATTAATTATGCTTCAAACCGTACAAATCAAGAATTATTACACCGTGACTGTCAAGCGTTCAGCAAAGGACTCATGGCTGCGAGAAAACTTGATAAACTAGTTGATCGAACACGAAAGCATTTAGCATCAATTATTCAAAATGAAATCCAGCAAGTTTCTCAGCGTGTCAACAATGGAAAAGGATTTCATGAAATTGACGATTGAAATTATTTAAGGAAAAAAATTTTCTGTTTAATAAATAACGCGACTATCGTATCTATTTTTTCCTGTTATGAACGAAAAATTTCGTCTTAGCATTGCTGTCAAACTATTTCAATTGTAATTTTGACTAAAAGTGATTTATAGAGAGCAATGCTAGATTGTTGATTTATTATTTAACATACAAAAAAACGAAACACGCACAAGTCTTTTCTTTTCTTATATTTACATGAATTTACTTATCAAGCCAATGAGGAAAATGAAGACTAAAGAGTTACTTGAAAAGATTTGAGTAATACCATTACAAAAATCTGTTTGACAACATTGCACACCATTTCCACCGACAGTGAAAGGTTGGCAAATATCTGTGATATTTCGATCGATAATTGACGCTCCTTGAGTTTTCTATTCCATTGAAAGAAAAAGATATGTGAATTAACGAAACAACTTAACGAATTACTTTGCAATACAGATTTGTTCCGTTCACTGTGATGTTACTAGCACTGGTTGCATCGAATGGATCACCACAGTCTGCACATGAATAACATGTTAGACCGAACGTATATTGACTTGCAACTAAATGAAAGTACAGAATATTTGAATTTTTCATCTTGAAAATCAGTTTTATTTAACTGACAAAGTAAGATGGTGACGATGAGAAGAGTATTCGGTAGAACATGCATGTTTGTTTGAAATTATTCGTTTGAATAATGTTGTATTTTGGATATGAATGTATTGTAAGTACGCGATTATTCAAGCGAAAAGTGAGAGAAGAAAAAAGAAGAGATGAAAAATACGTATACATTCCTATCTGAGCATTTTGTTCGATAATGATCACTTCTGTTCTATGTATCATTTTCTCGCTTTGTAAAATATGACGCATTTTGTCACATGGTGATCATAAACATACAGCATTATTTTCTTTTCCTTAATTCATAACGAGGTATGTATCACTCTTTTCAAAACGTAGTCCAGAAGGTTCTAAATACTTATTAGTAATTATCAGATGTACTTAATGAATCTATCTTCAGTAGAAAAGGATGGCCGTGAAGCGAGTGCATTAAACACAGTCGTATGAATCAAAATTTCCGAAATGAAAGGCTATTGATAGAGTCTCGGAATAACCGTAGTGGTCTAAGTGAAAACATTTGAGATTAATTGCGTAGCACTATCAGTGATCATTATGAAGCGTATTGACTGATCAGTGAGAATTAAAGCCATTTTGATTAACTAGGAAGCGTAGCCAAGTTATCCATAAGTAACCAGAAAAAAAACGATGCTGAATATCATTCAATTCTAATAAAGAGCTCATTTTCTGCATTCTTATCTATTGAGAAAAGCAGGTGTTTGTTTTGATAACAGTATCTCTGTGCAGAAAAACGCGCGTGGAGCGGATTCATCTTATTTTCATTTTTTCTCGAAGTAATTCCTACTAAGTAAAAGTATAATAACAAAGTAAAATCAAGTCCAAATTATATAGATAATATCGCCGGTACAAAGTAGTCATGAGTAATATCAAAGTAGCAATTAGTTTTTCGGGCAATCAAAATATCTTTATTATATAAAAAAATCTGCTTGTACATCAAGTGATGAGAACTTAACATAAAGAAAAAATATCTTGAAATGAGATCGTATTGACAAGATTTTCATAACTGTATTACAGTCTAATAAAAAAGTTGTGCGAAGAAAAAAAACTGAAGTGTTTAACAATACAGTCGAACAAATGATTGAATTGTCGTACGACAGACAGGACACGTTTGAAGGCCATATCCACAACATGTACACGCACAGAAATGTCCACAGGGCAAACAGGCCAATTGTCGTTCCTCTTCAAAACAAATACGACATTGTTGTGGTTTAGTATGACAAGTCGTATCCACCGGTACTGATTTTCGACTATCTGACGGAGTGATTAGTTTTTGTTTATCACCACGAATGATATCGAGTTGTTTTTGTAAAAGAAAACAATTCATTTCTAATTCACTATCCGATCGGAAATCATTGTGATTCAATTTGTATTGAACTTCGTAACATCTTTCTATAATTTTTAACGAATATTTTGCCGAGAGACGTCTCACAATGGGTAGATCCAAACGAGCTTTAAGAAAACTAGTGAGTTCATTTTCATCAATCGTGTTATTTTTTCGTTCGTATTGATGTTTCGCTAATTGAATTTGATTATAAAATACATCACCACATAGATGTTTAGCGTATAAACAATGCGGAAACCATCGTGCGTGCTCCACTTTAGGACTATCATTAGAATTCCACTGTTTCAATGACCCATTACAGTAAAAACAAGTGACAACATTACCTTCTCCTGAGTAGAAGAATCCCGCATACGCCAAATCATGTGCAGTTGGTGTGTTTTGTGTCCAAGCCGGTTGATCGAACGATTTTAATCGATATGACATTTGACACATGTCTGTATGATGAGGACGAAAAGTTTCTTCGGAAGTTTGAATTACTACAGGAATAGTATTTGATGATTCGGATAATTCCGATAAAACAAATGTACATTGTGGAGAAAGTCGTTTATGGACTTGTTTTGGATCATCAGTTGATTTCCATCGATGACAAATCGTGTCACAATAGATACATATTACTCGATCAGCAATTCGACACGAAAACCAACCATTCGATGCCATGTCATCAGCGCTAGGTTTCGTATGAGGCCAGTTTGTAAAGGTTTCCATGCGATCTCTTCGTGTGTAGAACGATTCATTAAGAACATGCGATGCTTTTACAGAAGACGCTGGTGGCGTGAGGGATACGAGTGTTTGATCCAACATGATGATAATTTTTTGAATAAATCTTGCTAGAAATGAAATTAAATACATATTATACTTCGTTCTATTCGTGAAAAATCCTTTTAGAAGTGCTGGGAAAAATCTAAATTACGTTTTAATAACATGCGCGTTTGTTTATCAATGACTTCAAGTATATTGTGTGTGAATAACAATAAAAAAACAGAACGAAAAAGGTAGTATTACTCGCACTTTATATTCACATGAGGCATTGTACGGGTCTCTTTGTATGTTTCATCGGTTAGCATATAACATGCGATGCAAAAGTCTTTGAACAAATGTCTGAGTGTATTAAATCACTTTGCCAACTTCTAAACTAGTTAAATGTTTTTTTGTTGGAAAGAGCAAAGTCTGAAGTTTAAGTTTTGTACAAAAAATATTTTTCGTGATCGAATCTTCGAGGTAGAAAAAGTCGAAAACAATACACCTCTAAAAAGGGTTTTGCAACATTTTTCGATCTTACAAGTTTTTATTTCTAAATTGTTTTCCCCTAGGTAGACCCAGTTTTCAGTAAAAAACTACACCATGTTATAGTGCGTCAAAAGCTCTATCTACGTGACCCGTGGTGAAACCATTTACCGTAGCTATTGACATTGCCATCAACACATTTTGGAAATTGAAGTTTTGCTAAAATACAGTTTTTTAGAAGATATAGCGATCTGAGAAAATATGATTCAAAAACCACTTCCAATCATACATGAACGGGACTTTTCGAGCGTCATTTCCTTCAATGATGTCATCTGATAGAGACTTGGCAGGAAAAAAACATTCAAAGCCCACTTTCATCGCTGGAAAAGGTAGAATGTCTTGACTGTGTCGTACCTCTCAAGAAAAGTTATAATTCTATACAAAAACTGAAAGTAAATCCAACTTGTAATACATCGTTGGACAGAAGACACTTTGTACTATATAAATGTATTGTCAAAGTGTTTTTTCATTGCTCTTTGTATGCTGAAAGAATAGAAAAAAACAAGAAAAAGATATGCTGGTAGAGTGAAGTTGCAAGCACTTTTTTAGAGGTGTATTGTTTTCGACTTTTTCTACCTCGAAGATTCGATCACGAAAAATATTTTTTGTACAAAACTTAAACTTCAGACTTTGCTCTTTCCAACAAAAAAACATTTAACTAGTTTAGAAGTTGGCAAAGTGATTTAATACACTCAGACATTTGTTCAAAGACTTTTGCATCGCATGTTACGCAATGATTACTTTCGAACAAAAAACAAAAAGTTTCACATGCAGTAGAGATTTTCCTACTGGAGAAAAATTTCGTCATCTAATCTCGTCTGACGAATGACATGTCTCGTTCGAATGAATAATCAAACGCTTCACTCGTACCATTTCTTAAAATTAAATTTTGTTGCCTCAACATGATTTCCTTTTTTTTTTGTTCCCCCCTTTGTTTATTTGCTTTGCAAACAGAAGGGAACTGTAAGTAAGAGGAAGAAAAGGCATGGCGACTGGAGTCTTATTGATATTAATTTTTTTTTTCCTTCTCTCGTTTTTTTTTGTATTCATGGCCATCGACAATCATATACATTTAGTTCTACAACCGGGAGAGTAGTAAAGAATTAAAAAAAAAGAAATGTTGTGACGTGTCGACGCAAAATGGTATTGAAAAATCTCGTACGGTATATTATCAACAAATATCTGAAAGATTATATCGAAGAATTAGATTACGAAAAGCTGAAACTCGATTTAAGAAATGGTAAAATTCTCATTTCATAAGTTCCTAAATTTTGCTATGTTTTTCTTTTCTACGTAGGACATGTCTGTTTGGAGAAACTTCATTTAAAACCTGAAGCACTTGTAAAGTTCACGAGAAAAGAAATGTGAAAACGATTTCATTGTAGAATATTTCAGGTTGATCTGAGTCTTCCGGTCACAGTAGCTGTTGGATACATTGGTAAGTTCAATAGATTCAAAGACGAGCAACCTAAGCGAGTAATCTGGGTTTAGAAAAATTAGCATTAATCATTCCATGGAAGAATCTTTATCATCATCCAACGAAAGTATCCATCGATGGACTCTACATGTTAGTTGTGCCAAAAAATGGTAAGCAGAATGTGGAAAGACTGACTCTGACATGTCGATTAGCTTTGAATTGATTGAGATGACGTAGGAATGGCAGGTATATAAAGTAGGTTTTCACCTAACAGACAATTTTCTCTGCTCACGAAAAAAAGACAAACTGTTTTTGATAAGGTTGGAAAAAGCCAAATGAAATTGTAAGTTATTACAAGGAAGTGATTGATGATCGCGGAAAAATCGACTTGACTTATACGATGACATAATTATGAATCGATTTTTTTTGTTTTGATAGAAGTCCGTCGTGATTTTACAGGGTATTACGATGACAAAATGCGACGTGTTCAACGAAAAGTTGATAATCTACGAAAAGCAGGATTAAGTTCGTCAAAAAAAGCCCGTTTTCTCTTCAATAATAAATCACTTCTAGATAACAAAAAGCTCGATGAAAAAGAAACGACATTTCTCGAACGAATGCGCTTACAAATTATGCAAAATCTTCACATTTCTATCGACAATTTACACATTAGTTATGAAACCATCTCTACAACTAAATTAGGGCATCCATTTTCCTTTGGTCTGACTATTGACTATCTGGAAATGATCGTAAGAAACTTATTTCTTTATGCAAAGAACAACCGACAATAAACTGACGATTTAGACAGCAACAAATCATCGACTTATGGGAAGAAATAAAGAAAATTCAACGGTTATCTTCAAAGTAAATTTTCTTCTCAATAAAAATGCGTTCGTCATCATTCATGAATGTACATAGTTGAAAGAAATGCGTGCTCTTTCACTGTACTGGAATACACAATGTCGATCAAGGATTGATATGTTATTCGATGATGTTGTGGTCAGTATGATGAACTCATCTGCAAAACTGTACAACGGATTTTTTTGTATGTTTAGAAAGATTTGAAATCTAAAATCGCCACGACTGGTTATATTCCAACAGATCGAGAAATGAATTACAGTTTGTCTCTTCTTACGAAACTTTTTCTGTGAATTCATTCGTCGTTTGTTTGTTTCCAAAAAAGTTCTTTATCCGGTTAATCCTGTAATTGATTTAACGATCATTTTGCAACCTGGAGAGTTTAATTTCGAACGTCCAACATATGATCTTGACATCCAGATCGAACGACTGGATCTCAACATTGATCCCAAACAGTTTTCCGATTTGCTCGATTTCATTAAATTTCAAAATTATAGTAAACTTTATGGTATACACATAATTAACTGTAGATCATCATTGATTCGTCATTTTTCTTCATTCAGATCGTTGTCGAGAATACCGTGAACTGCAAATACATCAGATCATTGATAAACAACCTTTGTCATCCGAACAAAAAATTCGTCTTCAAGTGACCTTTTCTAACTTGAATTTCTGTTCATTAGATTTTATTTTGAAGTATTTGGAAACGAAATTGGATGTATTCAATCTTGCTTATATTCGCTATTTGGTTGAATTAGAATCATATCCAAATCTTCCAATCAAACATCACAGTCATCATCATCGACTGATTCATCGTCATCATCATCATCCAAGAGCGACTCGAATGACAACTGCATCAGTTTCTCCAACAAGTCATCCGAAATGGTGGAATTCTTGGTGGAAAACAAAAAGTCATGTGAAAGAAGGTAACTAATGAATTTAATTGAGATAATCGATGAGTAAAATATATATCCAGAACGTCGAAGATCATCTGCATCTGACTCGATCGCTAACAATGGTGATTTGCCCTCTGAAGATGTGAGTTATCAGTGAATGTTCTCATTGATTTCTGTTTCTTATTAATTTCAGTCTCCGAACATCGATGTTAAAGTAAAAGTTCGTCATTTAACTTTGAATTTATCATATCCACAGAGAGACAATCGAGTTACATTAACAGACAAAGACATACTTTGCCCAATTGAAATCACTAATACTCAAATTGACTTCAAACGACAAGCAGTGTCGTCAAACATATTGTATGAACACCATAAATGCCACTCTTATCTTTATCACGTGATTATTTAGATTCATTATCGATTTACAATCATTATCTTTATTCGGTATGCAAGCTGCTGGTGATCAACGACCACTACTAGTAACAACGATTTCCAAATCATCGCTTCCATTAATTCATAGTGAATTGGAATTATCTCCAATGGACAAAAAGTCCGATTATCGTCTACATTTGGTTATCGAACCGCTCAGAATCACCTACGATGCTGTGAGCTACAGTCTTGAAGTTAATGTTTGTTATTAACTATCTATTTATAGTCAACGATTAATCATATTGTACAATGTTTCGAGACCAATGTTGATGATGTTTGGTCTGCAGTGGCACAGTTGGTTGAACGAATCGATTCGATCGAAAAAATTCTACTCGTTTCTTCTATTCTTTAGAATCAAGGAGAGAACAATCGAGGAAATGGAACAAGATCTTCGTCACGAGAAGATTTTTGATATGACACTTCATTTACAAGGAATTTCATTAATTCTACCTCGATATGATGCGAAGTAGAGCTAAATCAAATGTTTTTTCCTCATCGATTAATTGTTTCTTTTAGTTCCTCTTCTAGAATTAATATTGATTTCGGCAGTTTAATATTGCGATCATGTTTGGATGATCATCGCGACGATTTCGTAACTCAGGTACAACCTTGCTTACCATTATCAATAACATTTCTTTCATTTTGTACCAAGGAGTCAATACAACGATATTATACAAGATATAATTTAAAACTACACGATCTTCAGATCGTCTACTCTTCATCAGGTAACTAGCAGACATCTCCTCAAACAAACTACCGCTCGTTTCTTTCAGATAAACAGCAGACACGTCTACTAAGGCGGTTACCAATACTCGATACCGACTTTTACAAATGTGTTTGTCCGAACGATGCAAAGTTATTAGAGTAAATCGAATAAAAAAACAACATACCATTGAAAATTGTATGTTTATTTTTTCTAGTTGGCGTATTGTCGTGAATATTACACGTATGAATACGATTGAATTGTCGCCGATAACTTTAACAGAACTAATTCAACATTTAAAATCTGTACCACTGCTTTATTCAAATCTGATAGAAACTCTTCATCGAGTGAATCTCTATTGTATCGTTTGTTTTCAATTATTCCTTTAGTCAAATCTCTTTTTTTTGGTTTTTTTTTCAAGTTACCATTTTCCCACCACACACCACTGTCGATGTGAAGTTTATGGTTCGGAAATGTTCTCTTCTTCTGACTAATTTCTACACATCAATAAGCACAGGTAGAATCTTTGTTCTATTCAATCGTCTCATCTGTTTTCATCTACTCAGATATTGATGGTCATATATTGAAAACAAGAAAGAAGAAAGATATGAAACTTTTGCTGAATAATTTAGTCATGCTACATCGCAATCAATCATCGTAAGATCGTATTGATCCTTGTTGAATTTTTGATGGTATAACTGTTTGTTTAGGATATCATGCGTAATCTATCGAAAGCAATCAATTGAATTAATTTATACGAAGGATTTGACGGATAATCTGTGATATGTTTTATATAACGTTTCTTTTGATAATTTTAGTGACTTTTCTTCAATCGAAAGATTTAATATGTAAGCAATAAAAGTCATTGATCACCGCCATAACTAAATATTTGAATTCGATCGAATAATGATTGACTTTCGATAAAAACAAATCAAGATTTGGTTCTTAACTATCTAAAAGTATGCAAACATTCATGTGTTGTAATCGAGAGCAAATCTTCATAACCACTTCAATTTATTTGTACATACAATATGTTGTACATGTAAATTTTTTAAATAAAAGTTCGTTTTTGGAAATTGTATGACAGTATTTCTCGAATACCAATGAAGTCGAGTCGAAAAATGAGTTAATACTTGGCGTATAAACGTTTGGCATGAATTGCAATATGGGTAAACAATATTTTTGAAAAGGAATTCACCGGAATTGATATATAGAGAAAAAGATTTTCTCAATGCTAGTATGATACAAATAACTAAAATAAGAAGAGAGCGTTTAGCTTACTTGTATGCATTCATCGAATAGAATACAAGGTTATAGAAACTACCATTTGAAATATATTGACAAGAGAAAAAGCAAGGATATGTATGCCAAAATGATGAAGTGAACGTATGATTGATATTTGTATAAACATGTTGCTGATAGATAGTTGAAAAATAGATCTGTTTCAATTTGAAAGTACGTAGATGAGGCATATCTTCGGTGATTAATGATTCTCATGCATTCGAGTCCATGACAAAGATAAAGAAGGATTGGTTGCGATTTATCAAATTTTGTACATTCTATTTCGAGAAAGTGACATTTCATATATTTGTGCGTCACAGTCGATAGGACATTTGTATTAATCTCATTGTTTGAACTACGAAAGGTGACGTAGTTCTGAAACGTATGATAAGACACGAACGAACTCATCAGTGCTGACAACACTATTGATAATCAAATGTTCGATAGGAATGGATTCGTTCGTAGACATGAGTAATCTTATCGACTGAGGATTCATTTCAAAAGATAACTTACAACATTTTAATCATGATAGAAGAAAAGACAAAGTAAGGAAAATGAATATTTGAGAAGATTATTTAAGTCTGTTTTATTGACATGGTAAAGACTGAGTATTTCCATCGACGAGAAAATCGATCTAGGGTAAAAGTTGATGCAAAAAATTGAGCAATCAGCAATAGCTGTGTCAGATGAATTGATTTGACTCGATGTTTATTGGAGAGAATAATGTCGTCATGACAATGTTGTAGATAAAGTTTGGAAATATATGAAATACTAGTCTTGATTGCAGAGCTTATATACGAGAGCAGATCAGTAAATTGTTTATTAAGACATGAAAACGATATATAGATATGGTAAGTATCGAGATATTCCATTACTTCATATCATTAGTTCGTTGGATAGATCTTCGAAACAAGCAGGCACTTTTAAATAAGACAGATTCCGAGTGACACTCGATATGTTCTCGTTCACTTTTATTACATGAACAAGGGAAAGAAAGAGATTACAGGCATAAAACTAAAGAACAACGTTGTATCGTCCTTTCTAGCTATCTTATGATTGTAATATTATTCACGCGGCGTCACACTTTGACTGTTCCCTATTTACGACCTTTTTCGGATTCTTTTTTTCAATAATTTGTAATTTGTGCTTATTTTGTTATTGTTTACATCCTCAAGGCACGAGCGCACTGTGCGTCATTGATGGAAAAATGAATCAACGATCTTATCTCTTCCGTGCGTACTTGTGCTGTAATGAATTGTACCCATGACATCTATCCATATCCATGTATTACACAGAAGAGACGAGGTGAAAAAGTACGAGACGATGGTGAGTCACATATACCATTCATTCAAATACTAAAAATCTGGCTTCAAATATTTTCTAATCGAAAATCGAATGCCATTCATTTCAGAATATGCTGTCAAACAAAGATGTCACTTGAAGCGCTCAGTTTTGGAGTGTACAGAAACAAATGATTGTAAAACAAATCTTTCGCAAGTCTAGCGTAATAACAAACTCTCTGCTTTTTTACTACTGCATGCGTAACTCAATTTCAGTGCTGCTTTTTCTTTTTTGATTGTATATCCCTACTGTGTTAAAAACTTGTTTTTATTTTACTTTATCGTTTAAGAATATCGATTTTGTGTCAAAGTACTCTTTTAGAACGTCTATGGCATCATCGAATCCACAGAAAGTGTTGTGTGTAACATGCAATAAAGTGACAGGTCTATTTACTTGTCGCGGATGTCAACAGAACTTCTGTACTAGTCATGTCGCTGAGCATCGACAAGAATTAGGAAAACAGATGGATGAAATAACGGTCGAGCACGATCGTTTTCGACAAATACTAATTGAACAGAACACAGATCTACGAATGCATCCATTGCTAATTGAAATAACCGAATGGGAGCAGCAATCGATCGAGAAGATTCGTCAATTAGCGCATGATGCTCGACAGCAGCTAGAAGAGTTGATAATCGCCAGTCGAAAGATACTGAGTGAAAATCTGACGAAAATTGGAAATGAATTGAATAAAGCGCGTGAAGAAGATAATTATTTCGAAACGGATTTTGTCGAATGGATAGCGAAGATAGATCGATTGAAAAAGGAAGCAAATGAGTTGCCAAATGTACGACTTCCTTGTTTTGACAATAATATTCTTCCAGTGATATCCAACGTTCGTGAAAATACTTCTTTGAAAGAAATCTTTCAACAATCAACTGGTGAAGCTGCAATCGAAGACAATGGTGAAGTAGCTGTTAAAAACACGCGCGTATCTCATGCAGCCGTACGTGGTAGGGGTGAATTCAATTCTGGACAACATCGATTTCGATTTCGCATCGAACGATATTTTAAATCTGGCTGGTTACAAATTGGAATTGTTTCGAAAACTATACCTCTCCAAGCGAATTCTTATCAAACACCATCTCTTTACGGTTGGGGCGCATCCAACCAAGTTTACCTTGACGGACGAAATCATCAAGGCTATAATGGATACATAACTGATATACAAACGAATGATGAAATAGAACTAGCCGTCGACTGTGATACACGAACGATTATTTTAACAAACGAACGTACCCATTCCACGTATCGACTTGCTGTCGATCTGCAACGCTGCCCATTTCCATGGCAACTCAGTATTGGCTTATACTATTCCTTAGACCGTATTCGTATCTTGCATACGTAATTTATTTTCTTGGAGTTCTAATCTCGATCTTGAAATATATATTTGCAACAACTTATTTTACATATCGCGTGGTTGACCATAAGCTCATTGAACGTTTATTGTGTGTGTTATTCATGATATTTAACTAACATCTAAATCCATATCTTTTCCCTCACTTGCCTGACAAACTATCATTAATAAGATCTGTCACAAATGAAATTTTTGATATATATTGTGACATGCGTACAGCATCTCGTAAACATTTTCCCATAAAGACTAGAGAAACCAGTTAGCCTACCCAAAGATGTGCTCATAAGACTATTGAAATAATGAAATTTATTTTGTATTCAAATAAAAACAATCAGTTGAAGGAATTCTTTTGTCACGGTACTGCTGCTTTTTTATTTTTCTTGAATAAAGTTTCCTAATCAGACCATTAATGCATTACATAGAACTATACGGACAAAAGAAACAATAAATATATATCCATACAAAAAAATTGAAATGTCTGCTCTATCTAGTGTGCGACGGGAATCTTTTAATTTTTCTTAGCTTCGTTTGCTTTTTCCAAACGAAGTTTTGTTAAGTTTTCTTCGATATTTTTTATTGTTTGCATCTTCAGTTCGTGATATTGACGCAGTTTGGCGTCTTGCTGTATTTGCAATTCATTGAATTCTTGTTGAAGTTCATAATGCCAAGGATAGAGAACTGACACTTGGAATCCTAGAGCCACAGATGCGATAAGAAAATTGACGAATGGGAGGTATTTTTGAACGAGACGATGAACCATTTTATTTCAAATTTACACTCGAGGAGAAAGATTTTGTTATTTTTTAACTGAATAAAATATGAATGTATTTCTGTGTTGTTGACGTTGAGAAGAGCAAAAAGTGCTTGTTACTTCTATTACCGTATGACGATGACGTGATAACCAATCGAATGTCGACTACCATGAACCAATAAAAACAAATATACGGTCAAAATACCCCATCTACATTCTTTACAACGGTACGTGCCTGAGAGAATCAGAGTGAACTTCGATTTTTCTGTACTAAACATGACATTCAAATTCCAGGAAAACTTCAAAACTCAACATTTTCTTTTAAATATTGACAAACATATCTAAATAAGAAATAATTGTCTTGTTAAAGTTTCATGTTAAGCATCAATATGTGAAGGTGACAGACAAACATTTGCGTTCGCGTGTATTCAGTGCACTTTGATAATGGGTACAAAAGTTTCGCACATGACTCATGATACTTTTAGTTAATGCATTCTTGCCCCATACTTTTCTGTTCGTCCTTTTGTGTATTCTTATATCTCCAGGTGTCGATTTTCATCTCTATACTGAAGACATTTTATTTCGCTGATTTAAACGTGACTGTATTTTGTATCGTATCAACGAAATATCGCCAGGTTTAACCAAAGAGAAAAAAACGCACAATATCATCTCAGAATTTAGCAAGTATTCGCCTAATTAGCTATGATAATATTGTCAATCTACACAATGACATTTATTTGCTACATAGAAGAAAAACAACGAACGAATTCATTCGTGTTCTTGGATTCTGAGAATGTATATGGCAGAGGCACGATTTTACACGATAAAAAAGACGTGATTGTGTCGAGCGGCGTTTTCGCTTATCATAATTGCTTGTCTATAGTATTCACACTGTAAAATACAACTAAAGTATGTGATTGTGTCATTCGAAAGAATTGCACTACATTCTTCGATTTTGTATTGAAGAATAATATTTTCAGACACTCGAAGTATAAAAAGTCTAAATATGAAACCTATTCAAAGGCAACTTGTTGATTTCTTCTCTTTCTTTTCTCGTTCATTTCATCGACACTGTGCTGATTGTTCTACCAGTCATTTCATTTTCTTTTCTCTATGAAGAATAGTCATAAAAAAAAGAAGAAAAGAAATCGACGTAAGCTCTAATGAAACGAAGAAGTTGAATAGGAACAAAGAAGCAGCTGAAAAGAAAAAAGAAAAGTTTCATGCACGACACCAGTTTGTTCTTTCTCTTTTGTTCGGCTACCAACAAAGACTCTGCGCATTTTTATCTACAAAACGTGCTCTTGACATATATTTCTGATGAATTGTTCATGTGCACACGTTTCAATCCAATGATCAACTTCGACATGAATACAAGACGTATGAGTGACTTCTGAGAAGTAAAAAGATAATTCAAAGTAAGACATCCTGTCAGAAGAAATAAGTAGGAGAAAATGAAACCTTTCTAATGCTTACATACATTCTGTGGTTGCTATTTGTCGACTAACAAGTAGTAACATTGAAAAAAAAAAGACTTATTCTGTACTTCACTTGCTCGCCACCATTGCCATTTGATATTTACCTACTTCTATCATTCTCACATACTTTTTTTTCTTCTTCTGCTTTTCTTTCGTTATATGAGGTTGCACTAAATGGATAAGTATTTCACTCGAAAGTCGTTTTATGACCACATATAACATATGTGCCAAAGATGAACGTGTAAGTCAGATTCCGACTGACGTTTTCGAGTTTCATTGATGGAAAACGAAGCATGTAAATAATTTGTTTATTTCCATGATAAAGTGAAAGTCATCAAAACATTATATGATAATATTTCCCTTGTCTATGGTTACATTACATGTCAAACACTTTTTCTCTTTCTTATTTGCACTGATATTAGAAACCATTCGCCTCTTCTATCAAAGACTCATTTCATTTACTTGCAGATAGTCATCCAATGGTGAATATGTCTAGTAGTAATAACAGCACACCACGTTCAACATCCCGTCAATATTCTCCAACTGGAAACAATACAAGTCCAACGACCCGTTCAACTATTGATGACTTTCGTGAAATTATACGTGAACAATCGTTTGTTCTTCCAAATAATTCATCATCTGATCAAGTTCCCGTGAAAAGATATCCACCATTACCGGACATCAACGTACCAAACAGTCCTTTCTTTCGTACAGAAGCAAACTTAACTGCACTGAAAGCCAATCAACCGAAAAAACAAATGTTCTATCACTTTGCACCAACTCAACGGACACATTTACCATCGTTAAATAAACGTGCGATTCCACCGTCCATGTCGAACGTGATGGATCTCGATGAAGATCTTCCACAATGTCATACAGCTATTGCACATCGCGCAGCTACATACACATCACCAGGTGATCGAGTTACATCTCCGATAAAACGCCCTTCAGCACCCTTACCTCCAGCAAGTGCACACTTGAAACGACCTGGTCATATTTATGGAAATGAAGATCCGACTGACGAAGAAAATTATTCTGATCTCGAGGAAAATGGTGACGACGACGATGATGATGATGATAGTCAATCATTTGATGAACGATTTTATCGTTACACTCAACAACCGATAACAATGGTGAATCGTCGAGTGGATGATTATAGTCAAACTACTCGTTGTATAAATATAGATAATAATGTCCATAATGAACGTACTCATCCATTGAATACAATTAGTTTCGAACCGTGAAAATTGGTATATTGATGAAGTTTGATAAACATAATCCACTTTTTTTTGTTCTTATCGTTAGAGAATTGGAAAAGGGTATTTCGCAACAGATTTCTGTTTTCTTTTTCAGTAAAGATTTTGATGTTAGATATAACAACAAATAGAAAATCAAAGTGAACATCTTGAAATAATGAAAAGAATCATTTCTTCTTCGTGTTAATATTTCCTCCAGTTGCTGCTGTTGCTATGACGATACAAAATATTGTAATTATTGAAACAAGTAGGCCATTTTCTTTTTTTAAGATTTGTCATGCATTGTGCATGACAATGCAATTATTCGGAAGGATTCATTTATATCAAAACTCTCTTTTTTTTTCTTCTGTTCTACACTTTGATTGAATAATTCCTCATAAATACGTTATAAAAATGACGACGGTCGTTGATTTCTTCCCAATAGGAAGAAATATCCATATTGATTTGTCGATATCATACATATACTTTCTCTTTCTCTCTCGATTACAAAAGACATTTGTATTTTACAATCACTGAGTTGAACATAAGTGAGTTATGTTGGCTGTTCTAGTTTTCTTCGGTATGTTACAACTCTAATTACAGTTCGCTTTTTACATAGGCAGTTTTTTTTCATTATCAAAGCGTTGCTACCAATTAGTAGTACTCTTCAATGTTATGCTTGTGAATCCTGTAATGACCCATTCAATAATGATAGTGCGCCATTTCTTAATTTTCCTCATTATCGAAATCACAGTTGCACTGTATGGATATGAATCGAATGAAGTTTTGTATATGTTTGTAAATTTTCGTATAGAAAGAACATACGTCAAATGGAATCATTCGCGGTATGGCAAAACTTTGTGATAAAAGCAACAATGAACTATGGTGTTGTCAAACCGACTTATGCAACGGTCATATACAATGGTCATCTATTAAATTTCAATATGTTATCACCATTGCCGTTATGATTATGATTTGTTTTTGAATAAAACGATATTTAGTAGTGACATGATCTAGAAGGATACTGTTTTTCTCGTTGTGTTTGTTTATAAGACTCGATGATTTAAGCAAGCACTTGACTTGACCTGACGCGAATTCTATTTTATGCACTTAGACAATGGGACATGTTTGTCATAGCAAAGAATATTTTTAGACAAGAGCAAAAATGAGAGAGAGTTCATAGCATCACACTGTGATGAAGAGAAAAGAATAGAGGAGCCATTCAGAAACTTTACTTTGATGACTGATGCTTTCTTCGATTATATTTATGTACTTTGTATCTGGCGATGTCGTTAGTTATGACGAACATATCACGCTGTCTGAATATGGATACTAAAATGATGGAAAGTTCAAATTCCTCGATTCTTTCCTGTATTACAAAGATCACAGAAATGAATATTCGGTTATTTCTAATATAGACTCGTTTTAAAAAGCTTGAATTGTTAGTAGAGATCGATTTAAATACAAAGTAGACTTTAGTTGTTAGCAAAATTGGAAATTCCTTTTAAATATAATCGTTCGTGATGTGTTGATTATTAAAATTCGCTGAATACAAAATTTTCGCGTTTATAAATTGGAAAAAGCCAGTTGTCTGCTCTCGTATTACACTCGTTTTGTCAACAGCTATGTTGGAAAAACGGAAAGTATAAAAAGTTATGTGTTGCTTTCCGTAGAAACGAACGAGTACATTTGCTTAGAAAGACGATGAGCGAAAATCTTGAAACATATTCATTAATTTGGTTGGACAATGCCGTAAATCAATCATTCGAGAATCTTCAAGCACAACAAGTTCTTCGAAAATTGATTCATCATTTATTAATATTTGAAGATGTGGAATTGTGTCTTGATTATATCGATCATCTTTCATCGAATGATCGTGTTCTACTGATCGTTAATGGTCGATTAGGTCAAATAATTGTTCCTCAAGTTGTTCTTCTTCGACAAATCGTGTCGATCTATGTTTATTGTATAGATAAACAAACGAATGAAAAGTGGACTCGAAACTTCACCAAAGTAAAAACTCGTCACGAAATGTCGTATGCAATGAGGTTTTTACAATAGGTAAAAGGTGTATTCGTACAACTGAATGATCTGATAGAACAAATACGAACTGATCAACTCCATCGACAACAATATCAACGAATTGACGAATCCTTAACTATCAACGTATTCAAGCTAGTTAATTCAAACGAAGGACAATCAACAACCGGATCTAATGGGCAATTTATTCATTTTCATCTATTAATCGATTGTTTGATTCGAATGGATACGACGATGGAAGACAAAGAAGAAT